TGCACCTGGGGAGGAAGAACCAACCCCATACCTACAGGCTGGGGAACTCCCTTCTATGCAGTGCAGAGGCAGAAAAGGATCTTGGAGTCATCATTGATGCCAAGATGAACATGGGCCGACAGTGTGGGGATGCAGTCAGGAAGGCCAACTGCAGCTTGTCATGCATCCACAGATACATCTCAAGCAGGTCCAGGGAGGTGATTCTTCCCCTCTATGCGACACTGGTCAGGCCACAGCTGGAGTACTGCGTCCAGTTCTGGGCACCGCACTTTAAGAGGGATGTGGACAGCATGGAGAAGGTCCAGAGGAGGGCCACTCGCATGATTGGGGGCAGCAGGGCAGGCCCTATGAGGACAGGCTATGGGACCTGAACCTGTTCAGTCTCCACAAGAGAAGGCTGAGGGGGGATCTAGTGGCCTGTTACAAACTAGTCAGAGGGGACCAGCAGGCACTGGGGGAGTCCCTGTTCCCCTGAGAGCTACCAGGAGTGACTAGAAATAATGGTCACAAGCTGGCAAAGGATAAATTCAGATTAGACATCAGGAGGTGCTACTTCACTGTCAGGGCAGCTAGGATCTGGAACAACTTCCAAGCGAAGTGGTGCTGGCTCCTACCCTGGGGGTCTTTAAGTCAAGGCTTGACAATCACCTTGCTGGGGTCATTTGACCCCAGTACTCTTTCCTGCCATGGCAGGGGGTCGGACTTGATGATCTGCTCAGGTCCCTTCTGACCCTACAAACTATGAAACTATAAGGATCAGGACTGTATTGGTTGCTTGGTTGACTGTGTTGGCTGCAACCAAGGCTGGAGATTGCAACTGGGCTCCTGCCAGGATCTAAATCCAGAGGTTCCTGGCTAGAAGTCTTGCTCCTCTACTTGTGGTAAACTGATCACTGTATTTGGGGTCAGGAAGGAATTTTACCCCATAACCAGATAGATCTGGATCGGGGTGTTTGCCTTCCTCTGTAGTGGGGAGCTCAGACCTCCTCATGGGGTCTCTTTGCTGGTTGCTCCTGCCTCCTCCCCTTTTTGCACTATATGTGTCAGGGTATTTTTAAGCCTCCCCTGAGGCCTCGCATGTTGGTTGCGGATAAGGCTGGGGACTTCAACTGACCTGTGCCAGTGCGTCTGCCTGGAGCCAAGCCAGAGGTCTCTGGCTAGAGGGTCTTGCCCTCTCCTCGGAGCGCCATATTTGGGGTCAGGAGGGAATTGCATCCTCTGGTCAGCCGGGTCCAGACTGGGGGGGTTGTCTTCCTCCGTAGCAGGGTGCGTGGCCTCCACCCCAGACCTCTGGAGCACGTACAGACAGCAGTGTTGCCAACTCCTGATTTCGGCGTTGTTCTTAAAGACTTTTCCCCGAAGCTTTGCGGTGCCAGGGCCAGGGTAGTCAGGCACAGCGGCCTCGGGCTGGGGGTGAGTGGGACCAGAGCGGCCCGCGGGGCCCTGTGCTGTGCCCTCTGGGGCGCCTTTGCAGCCCCACTTCGCCGCCGCTGTCTCGGCCCATCCGCGGTACGCAAACAACCTGCCAGTGGTAGGCACGAACAGGTTAATTAATTGCTTTATATGACAAAAGTGTACTGGTGGGACTCGAGGTGGCACGGTTTTAAGGGGCAACGTGGCCGAGCTCGGGAACCGCCACGGTCGCATCACTCCAGCGCACCGCCCCGCGGAACCAGGCTGCCTCCGCCGGGGGGCGGGACCACTTGCGCGGGCCCCGCCCCCTGCGGGAAAACCCCGCCCCCCACCGCGTGTCACTGCCGCTGGGC